ACATACACACACGTGATTTAAACTATAAAAAATTTCACTACTGTCGAAAAGTTTCCGACCATGAAACTTAAAATTGCATAATATTCAGGTCATCGTAATTCAGTTAAAAAATAAAAAAACATTTTAAAGTTTGAAACTTATACTTTAGCATGCTTTTGACCACTTTTCAAACAAATTGTTTTTACAATTGTATCTTAACAAATATCACGTTGTTGTATTTCTTAAAATTACGTGCATTTAACAGTGCGCAATTTGATAAGTTTTTTTAAAAAGTTCAATATTTTTGAAAAACAATATAAAGATTTATCTCCAAAATGCTTTTAAAAAAATTTTTAATTTTTCTTGACTAAATTACGCAACATTGAAGCTAAACCTGCATTGCTAAATAACTAACAAAATTTGATTAAAAAATCACAAAAATTTTTTACCTTCTCAATTCTGTAAAATTAAATTTAAAAACGATTAGAAGCTTGTTAAAATACAAAGTTCGAGGTTCACAATGTTTCTTTAATTTTTTACGATGGTATTTCACCAAATTTTAATGTTGGTTGTGAGCTATGTAGGTTTAGCTTCAATGACGTATAAATCGGTCAAGAAAAAGCATAAGAAAATTTTTTAAAAAGCATTTTGGAGGTAAATCTTTGTTTTAAAAATACTGTTTTAAAAATATTGAACTTTAAAAAAAAACTTTATTAGACTGCGCACTGTTAAATGTATGTAATCTTAAGATATACAACGTATTATTTGTTAAGATACAAAACTGTAAAGACAAAATTTTTTTGAAAAGCGGTCAAAAACATGCTAAAAGTATCAATATAGTAGTTCAACATCTTAACATTCGGACCAGTAAGGTGCTTCGTATTTCAAGTTTTAATATAAATGGTCTCGTTTCCAATCATATTGCTAAAAGTATAAGTTTCAAGCTTTAAAATGTTTTTTATTTTTTTGTCTGCGATTTTTTACCAAGTTACGATGATTTGAATATTATGCAATTTTAAGTTCCATGTCCGGAAACTTTTCGATGGATGTGTATGTATATATATATATATATATATATATATATATATATATATATATATGCGCGCATGCAAATACAAAATAATTATTCTCTTTCTCACACAACTAACAATAAAATAAATAATTACCGATAGGTTGCATGATATAATTTTCTCCATTCATTTCGATATTTACATGGTCTTTACTTTTATTTATAAAAGTATTATCATGTCTTGGAGATTCTTGCGATAAGCTCATACTTCCATCGGGAGAAGCAATAGTTTCTGGTAAGCCTTCTCCGAAATTCTGAACCGTAGAATGAGAATTATTTGCAATCAATATACTGCAGCCAATTTTCTCAGTCAATATACTTTTAAAGCGTTCTAATATGTTTTTATCCAATATTGATATTAACTTAGGAGGAACTTTACTTATTAAATTGTTGTTAATATCTTGAACATCAAGTAATTTTTCATTCTCTATGCAATCATATAATATTTTTTCGATAATATGTTTATCCGGTGGCAATCTCAAGACTAAAGTTCTTATAGTATTCCAATATTCGCCACGTTTGATATATTTTTCAATACATTCTAATATGTTCATAAGATTATTTGAATCGTTAATGGGTATATATTCTACCAAATGATTCATGATCGCTTTTAACGGTAGTCCCCGGTTTAACAGTTCCTTAATAATATTCTGAATAATATATCTCTTTGATAAAAGTGTCATTTTTCCTTTTACATGACTATCATGAAATATTTTATAAATTGTGAAGATCTGATTAACAGTTAATTTTTGCATTGATAATACATATGTTGTTCTGCAAAAAAAATTAAAGCCAAGATGAAATGCATTTTGCATTATATTTAGCATCACTGTCGGGTCTTTTGAACAAACTGTATTAAAGAGATTCTGCAACTAGAAATGTAATTTTATATCAAGTTATATACAAATTATTATATACAAATTAAAGAAAGCAAAATAATAAATTTTACGAATAATTATTACCTCATGCTTGAATTTACACAGCTGTTGCTTGTAACAGGTACCTTTTCTCAATATCGAAAAACAGTATCCATTGAGGAAGTTCTTAAGATTAATTTTTGCTAACCCTTGGCATTTTGATACTTTCATACTTTTAGTTTCAAGTGCTGTTACTTTTGATTTAGTTCTAGTCTCAGATATATAATCTGTATGTGTAATCTGTTCGGATTGATTATTGAATTCATTTTTATCAGTTTTATTAGTTTTATTTGACATTTCTATATTGTCTTCTACACATTTAGCATACTCCTTATTAAATTCTGTTGCATTTTGTTTTATATATTTATCAAAACTGCTAGTAGTCATTATATATGGTACATCAGAATGTAGAGATTTGTTTAATTTATCTTGTTCACATAAAACTGTATTTTCATAGCTAGAACAATTAAATTTTTAATTATTGCGAACATCGTAATTTGTAGAATATGTTGATTTGTTACATTAAAAATTATAAAATATATCTATCTAAATTATAAATATTTTATAAATTTCTTTAATATTATATATAAAGTTAAATTTCGTCAGATTTTTCTAATTTATACTTACAGATTTGTATCAAATGATTCTGCAAATAGAGAAATGCAATCATCATCATCTTCATTTCTGCTATTCATATGTTCTTCCTGTGTATTGGCATTTTCATTAATACTTCTATCTATTTGATTTAAATGCTGCGTTTTTTCTGATGTGCTTTGTAACATGCTATACATACGATTGTTGCAAATTGAATCTGTTTGAATATCTATTTCTTTACACAAAGTTTTATTAAATGTGGATTCTTTTTCGAAAGAAAATCTTTTATAAAATTTCTCATTTTTCATTGTATTTGTTGGAGTAATTATGCCACTTTTATTATTTAAATTTATTTGCTCAGACTCTATACTAGTTTTATTATTAAACTTATTTTCGAATAGTTTGGGAGATTTTGATCGATTTTTATTTAAATATTCACGTACGTCTATTTTTTGTACGGGAATATTTTCTTCGGATACATTTGATTCTGCTGCTGTATTGATATTTGGAAAGTCAAATTCTTGAGGATTTAACAATTTAATATGTGTTACATTATTTTGCAGCCAAAGGGTTCTATTTAATTTCATTTTTTTGTTGTCCAACTTTATAATATTTTCTGCTGCAATACGCTTTCGATTCTGTTTCATAGTTTCCTTTTTGTTAGCCAATATTAATGATTTAGTGGCATTACAGTTTTCATTTACATCAACAAGATTTGAAGTGTTCTTGTTTAAAATGTTTTCAGAACTTATTTTCTTACATTTTTTATCATTTTGTAAAATATTATTCTCATGCTTTTCTCTATTATTTAATCTATTCAATTGTTTTTGGCGATTCCAAATGCAGTTTTCATATATTTCTCTTGTTACACTATCAGTATTATTAATATTATTATGTACGTTATTTTTTATTTCCAAAGAATCTATGTTCTTATTAACTTTTGAACTATGATGTTCATTGTTATCTATACTTTTATTTTTTAAATTAATGTTATTGTTAAATACCAACGTAGATTCTGATACTTTTGATATATCAATTGATTTATCTATCTCAGGTATATGATAGTCTTTCTCTGTAAGAATATTTGTGGATTTAAATGTATCATTAGTGTAAGAAACTTGCTTTGTACTGTTATTAGTATCATTAGAAACATTACTCTGTAAACTTTCGTCACTCGTGTTTCCTTTCACAAATTTTATCGTACCTTTTGGTAAGATATGATTTCCTGTTATTTTTGGCAAGTTTTTTTTTATTATTATTCTTTTATTTGTCTTATATGGACATTGTTTTTTATGTGTTGTGAGAAAATTAGGTATTTCAGTAACATCAGATATTTTAGTAACAGTAATTGGCGTCATATTTAAAGAGAATGATTTTGGAATACTTGTTGCTTGTATACTATCGACACCTAAAATTGTAATTTTATTACTTGATCTTTTTACATCTTTCTGATCTTGGGTTCTATTTGTATTATACAAAGTAAAAAGATTATTAGAAGGATTTGCGTTTTTAGATTTAAAATTTATCTTGTCTTCAGTTTCTAGGATTTTATTTTCTCTGTCTGTGTTAATTATACTTGAAAATATAGCTAAAAAATATCAAATATTGCTTAAAGGTTTTTTAAATTAAATTTTTAGATTCTTCTTTCTTCATAATATTATCATATAATTAATGATATATACATACCTTTACTATTTTGATTTGTTTCGCATTGTTCTAATCTTACATTACAAACTCTTCCATTAATAACACTACTAATCGTACATAAGTTGTTATTATTATATTTCTTGATGGATTTACTGGATATCTCTTGCATCTTGCTATTACAATCAATAACATTTAAATTTTCTTCATTCAAATAACTTTCATTGTCACAATCGATTTTCATTGAGTTCATACTTGTACCTATTTATGTAAAAAAAGCCAAAACAAAACTTTACGCATAATACATAATACAATATAAATATATATGTGTGTTACCTGATTCATTAAATTGTAGTTTTCTTTTACATCCTAATTTACTGTCTTTCTGTTCACTTGATTTTTTATTACTATAATGCTTTTTATTATTTATTGACATAATTTTCTTTTGTGTATGATTATAATACATTGAGGTGCTAGATGTTTCATCATTACTTTTATTTGAAAATGATTTAACACTAATATCAAGCTTTAATTGCTGCTTTTGTGCTGTAGGTTCTTCTAATTGAATTATTCTATGATTGTATGATACATCATCTAAAAATTCAACATTTTTACATTCTTCATTTATCTTTTTCATTAATTTTTTCGAACGGCTTCTTGTTAATCGAAAAGTCTCATCCTCTGTATTATCTTGTCGCATATTTTCCTTTAATATCCATATATTATTAGAAGACTTTTTAGATGTATTAATACATGGTGATGAATGTTCTAACACCACAGTTTTCTTTTCAGAGAAATGTAATTGGTAAAGTTGAACTAAATTTCTATCTAAAGCAATGTTATGCAATACAACCTTACACATGCGAAGATTATTCAATGTTTTTAACTTATTATTTTTTGCTTGTGTATTTCTCTCGTTTTTTGTTTCTGCCATTCTGTTTAATTAATTAGTTATACATACGTTGGTTGCTAATGCTTAACAAAAACCAGTTTTCAAATGTCTTTTCTGTCGACAGTAATAAAGTCCTTTATGCATCAACTTGATAGTGTATATTTTCATCAGTCTAGATTTTCGAAATACGTCGTTACGTATTTTTCTTCACACTTTAGCCGAGCTGCATGGAGGTATTGCAAAGTCAACCTAATATAGAGATAAATCGTTAAGTTCATAATAGATAATGAGGCATAACATTATGCGGATATCATCTAAAAAAACTACACAGTAATTTAATAAGAAAGGACTACACTAAAAGAAGGATATTATATTACAAAAAGTAAGTGACTATTAGACTGTTTCTTTTATTCTGTTATAAGCTTTCCTTCAGTAAGACGATGTCCCTTATCGCACAGTTTTTCGTACAGATTATGTACGATATATTACTTTTAAATCCATTACCTACATCCAAAAATGTACGCATATGTCCATCACACGTATTTCTTATTCGTCTCCTAAAAGCTAATAAAGGGAACAATTTACACAATCGGTCGCCGGTTATCAATAAATTCCTCCAATTCACCGCGGAAATATTCAAGTACTCATTTCGAGAATCGCAAGTATTTATATCGATATCCAGCGACATCAGCGCTTTCAATTTATCTGTACTATATCAGAGATTAAAGGTACCTTTTCATGCTGATGCCGACACCAGTGGACTAGTTTCCATCGAGGGTTTAAATCGGATCAGAATGTAAAAACTAACCAACTACAATCTAGCATTCCCCTGTTGACTGTAACAGAGGAATACTACTAGACTGTAGTTGGTTGGTTCTTACATTTTGATCCGGTTTAAACCCTCGATGGAAACTAGACCAGTACATACATACAGTATGGACACTGAACTTTTTGTGGCCTCCAATTTTTAGTGTGAATGCGTCGATTTCTAATCAGAAATGTAGTTGTCTTCGGTAAGTTCAAATTGCAGGTTAGGTTAAGTTAGTTGAATCTTCTTCCCATAAAATATAATTAACCCTTTCGCCTACAATATCATGATAAAAAAATCGACCCAAACATGAGTATCACGGGTAAGAGCCGTGGTACGTCATTCGTACAAAGCTTAATTATTTTTTATTTGTAAGAGAAAAGTAGGGTAAAGGTTAATAAAATTAAGTTTTACTAAAAAATATTAAATCAAATTTTTTCGGAGACGATATATATTATGTTATATTTGTATACGATAAAATATTCTCGTAATAAAGTATGCATTTGTGTATATTATTAAATTACAACTTCACATTTAATTACAATTTTCTTGCAATATATAATTTTTTTATACATAATTATTTAATTACAATATTGATATAGTATTTAATCAATTATTATTTTTCATTTACTTATTACTATTTAATATTATTAATTAATATTTAATATTATTATTATTAATAAAGAATATTATCTTTATTATATAATTCTAATAAAAATATACTCGCTATAAACAATTTTCATGATACGATTAAATTATCTTTTTTTTTTTAGAAAAATCATTCTATAGCTTTATAAAAATTCAAATTTATAAGCGCCTTTCCAACCTATAACATAACGACAAGGCATGTGACTTGAAACCCATTACATCAAAAATGCCGACGCTCAGTGTCTTGTATGTACTTATACTGTGCCGATAAAGCTAATCAAGAGTTTGTGCTCCCCGCTTATATCCATACAAATTTGCATAGCCACATAAACGTATGCATAACGAAAATTACTTGTTATAAACTCTTGCATAATACATAAAACATGAGGCATAAAAAACCAATCAATCAGAATCCTTTATTTCGTAAAAAAGAAGGAAATATAGGACTTTGATAGGTTCATTTTTTTATGCAATATGTGTTATACGTTATGCAAGAGTCTGTGCTCCTCGTCATACTCTCACACACACTTTCCGTAACAGTAACCATAAACGTAATGTAGGTTTTCGACCAATTGCATTGCTTGATCATAAGATCCATAAGGGTATATCCACACAAACTTGCATAGCCACATAAACATACGTATAAAGCAAATTATCCAATCATATTTTACGTGCATCTTTATAGAAGAATTACGATTAAATAATTTTCTTGATGCATACGTTTATACGGCTATGCAAGTTGTGTGGATATATCCTAACCAAAACGGGAAGCACAGATTCTTGCATAACGCATAATACATAAAGCATAAAAAATTTAATCAAAATTTAATCAGAGTTCTTTATTTTATGGAAAGAAAGGAAACGAATGACTTTAATTAGTTTATTTTCTTATGCATTACATGTTATGCATTATACAAAAATCTGTGCTCTCCGCTTAACCGTAACAACCGAGCAATGCGATTGGTCGAATACCTTACAGTTACCGAAAAGTGTGAGTGACTAGCTTAAAGCCTTGTGTCCACAATGTTAGAAATCGGTCCGAGACTTTGGATGAAAAAAGAATTGATTAATCGCAATAGTCATATGATCAAATGTGATTTATTAATTTTTTTCTCTGTCTGAGATCTCAGACCGAGTTCTAGCATCATGGACATTGGGCTTAAGGACTGCAGCAGACAAAATTTCTGTAACAGCAATCTTCAAACGTGAACTTAAGCCAATGAACCAATCAGGATACTACTTTAGATCTACGTACTCTAACGGAAATAGAAATAGCAGTAAACTTATCCATAAGGCAAATGTCAATCAATTGAAATTTGTCTTATTGCGAGGTTATGGATAAATTTGCTGTTATTTCCATTTTCATTGGATTATGTAATCTAAGGCCGGACTACGTATTGAAAAATAAGATTAAAGATTGAAAGATTGAAATTTGATCAGTTAGAACATAGGATCCAAAATTTCTTTGTTTTCATTGATGAAACTTCAATTTTTAATCTTTAATCTCAATCTTCAATAATCTGATTCTAGTCTAAAGTAGTATTCTGATTGATTTATCAGCTTAATGCTTAGTTCAGACTGGAAGTAGCAAGCGTCAAGCAGTAGAGCAGTAACAAATCAGCAAGGTGGTATTTTTTATATCATTGTAAATATCGCCTCACTGATTA